TTTTTATCCCTTCATTGCCCTGGCTAGAACCTCCAGCACAATGTGGAATAGAAATGGCAAGAATGGAAATCCTTGTCTTGTTTCTGGTCTTATGATGTGTCTAGGTGTGAATTCATTTGAGTTTATCTTGGAATTTGTTGAGCTTCACGGATGTATAGATTAATGTTTTTCATCACATTTGGAGAATTTCAAGCATATTTTCTTCAGATATACTTTCTGTCCCTTTCTCTTTCTCCTCTCCTTCTGGGGCTCATTATATGTATGTTGGTATGCTCATAGGTCTCTGAAGCTCTGTGCATTTTTCTTCATTCTTTTTTCTTCCGGTTCCTCAGTCTGGCCAGTCTCAATTGACTTGTCCTCAATTTTGATGATTCCTTTTTCTGCCAGTTCAAATCTGCTGTTGAGCCCCTCCAGTGAATATTTTATTTATTGTACTTTTCAACTCCAGAATTTCTGTTTGGCTCTTTTTAATAATTTCTGTCTCTTTATTGATATTCTCTGTATGGTGAAACATCCTTATCATACTTTAAGTCTCTGTACATGGTTTGATTTAATTAGTTCTTTCAACATACTTATAATAGGTTATATGAAGCGTTTGTCTAGTAAGTCTAATGTCTCAGCTTCCTCAGGGAGTTTCTATTGACTGATTTTTTCCTGTATTTGGGCCTTCCTTCCTTCCTCCCTCCCTCCCTCCCTTTCTCTCTCTTTCTCTCTCTCTTTCTTTCTTTCTTTTTCTTTCTTTTCTTTCTATCTTTCTTTCTTTCGTGTGTCTCATATTTTTTTTGTTTAAAAGTGGACATTTTGGGGGCTTCCCTGGTGGCGCAGTGGTTGAGTCCACCTGACGATGCAGGGGACACGGGTTCGTGCCCCGGTCCGGGAAGATCCCACATGCCGCGGAGCGGCTGGGCCCGTGAGCCATGGCCGCTGAGCCTGCGCGTCCGGAATCTGTGCTCCGCAACGGGAGAGGCCACAACAGTGAGAGGCCCGCGTACTGCAAAAAAAAAAAAAAAAAAAAAAAAAGTGGACATTTTGAATACTGTGGAAACTCTGGAAATCACATTCACACTGCAAGGGTTTGTTGTTGTTGCTGTTTTTTGTTGTTGCTCTTTGTTTAGTGTCTTTCTTGGACTAATTCTGTAAAGTCTGTATTTCCTGTTGTGTGTAGCCACTGAAGTCTTGCCCGGTTATATCACTGTGGCTTAGTTGTCAGCTAATAATTGGTCAGAGGTTTTCTAAAGTGTCTTGAACCAGTAACCCTCCCACTTTTTGCAGAAAGGCTCTGCGTGTATTGTGGTACACCATCAGTGCTCTGGTAAGCGGTTCACAATAATGCCTTAGCCTTCACTTCCTGTTTTCATAGACTCTCAAGGTTAGCCAGAGGTGAGACATGGGAGCCTTCTAATGTCTTTCCTGGGCATGTGCACAGCCCTTAATGTGTGTGTACTTTTAGATCCTCAGGAATGTATTGTAGCTTTTCAAAGACCTTTTTGGACATCTCATTCTCCAGATCTTCCTTTTAAGTTTTATGGTCAGTCTTTTGTTTTTCCCAACAGGTATCATGGCCTAGGCAGCTGTGATGTTAAACAATTGCCACTGATAATGTTTGGCAAATGCCCTGTAAATAGGGCTTTTCCCACTCTCTCACGCCCTGCTGAGTCATGTCAAATAACTACAAGCCATGGGAAAGAGGCTTTTTCAGGGAGCTGACAGATCAAATAGTCATAGTGCTCTGAGGATGGGAGTTTTTGAGGAGCTCCAGGCTGTTCTGCCCCCACCAGTGACTGTTAGGCAGCTGGCTTTCATGGCCTTTTACCATGGGTGTGAGGCTGCTGGTTTTCAAGGCTACCACTGAACAGGAGAGAGGGGGTTGAAATAGGGCAAGTTAAAAGGCCCCAAAGATCAGTGTTCTTAGCAAGACTAAGTAGTTTTCTTGAATAAATGCTCCTCAGATTGTCTGCAAACTTTTGAATCATGTCCATAGTTCTGAAAAAGTTGATTTTAACACTTTTTGCCAGTGTTCTCATTGCTGTTTTGCAAGAATGGATCTTCAGAGGTTCCTACTGTGCCATTCTGAAAGCTCCTCCTCACAGATTTTTATTCTGTTTAGGGTACAATCAGATCTCCATCTAAAATAACAATCTTGTGTGGATATTTGGGTCAGAACTTCTTAGCAGTGGGCAGGATTTGGACTAACAATGAAAATGCTGAAGATGGCCTCTTCCTGTGTCTTCAGGACTCTAAAAGACTGTCCTGGACTGAGGCTGGGCTACGATCATGAGTAGGACAGTGGGTGAAAACTATGGGCAGCCAGTGAGATAATGTTGTTTTTTCCCCAACTAGGTTGTTTCTTTCTGTGCTCATAGGCATCTGAAAACCTGGAGATATGTTTGAGCCAAACTTCTGCAGAGATGGGCCACCAATTCCCCTTTACTGGTCACCACATTCCCCAGAAAGTTTATTGGACTTGGACCTTTCCTTGAGAAGGAATTTGGGAGAGAATAATATTAAAAAGGGGGAAACAAACACTTACTGAATGAACCAATGAGTAGTGGGCTGGAGAGATCAGGGAAGGCTTCCTGAAGGAGGCACGGGTTTGATCTGATCCTGCAAGAATGGGTGCATGTTGGTTAGTTGAAGAAAATGTGTGGTGAGTAGGAAAGCAGTTAAATTTAATGCAACCAATTGAGATATCTGAAATTAATTCCCCTCACTGAGCCACTGTAAGAATATATCCCAGGCTTATCCCTGGGAGAAAGCCAGAGACTAGGCAATGATCAAAAAAATGGGGGAGGCAGTATATCATAATGGTCAAGAATTCAGGTTCTGATGTCAGACTGCTTAAGTTCAAATCCCAGACTTTCTGCTTATATGCTTATTAGCTGTATGATCCTGGGCAATTTAACCTCTCTGACCCTATTTATCTGTGAAATAGGGGTACCTTCCTGCCTCACAGGTTTGGTGAGAAGATTAAATGGGATAATGCATCAATAGTGCAAAATACAATGCCTTGCACAGAGTAAGTGCTCACCAAAAGACATCCATATAATTTTTTCTTCCAGTTTTGAGGTATAATTGACATATACCGCTGTATAAGTTTAAGGTATACAGTATAATGATTTGATTTAGTATATCATGAAGTGATTATCACAATAAGTTTAGTGAACATCTGTCATCTCATATAGGTACAGAATTAAAGAAATAGAAAAAAACAGTTTTCTTTGTGATGAGAAGGCTTAGGATTTACTCTCTTGACAACTTTCATATATAATATACAGCAGTGTTAAATGTATTTATCATGTTGTACATTATATCCCTAAGGCAGCCAGATTTTTAATCTGAGTCCAGCCACGAATCCAGATACCAAATGCACAAAGCTGGAAACCATGTCGGTATGGTCAGAATTGAAATTGTTTTTGAATGCTTCCTGCAATTGCTTTGTTTATTTCTGTTCAGTTCACCTTTAGAATTTGGTAACATATTATTGAAAATGCCAGCATGTTTCCATATGTTAGGAAGAATTGTATGGAGTGTTTTTATTTTATGTTTGAGAGACAGAACATTAAACAGGGCACTGCAATAGAGGCAGGGATCCCACAGAGAGAACCCCCAGGGCCTAGGTGAGATTCAGAGGGATGGAATCAAGTCCTTGATCAGCTTAACCTCCTGGGAGTAGATTCTACTACCTGAGCTTTTCTCTCTTTGGGTTTCAGAGGTCCAAGATTTTTATTTATTCACTTATCAAACAGGCACTGGGGAGGGTGGAGGCGCAGTGGTATTTTTTTTTAACTAGAGCAGGGGCTCTGGACCCAGGTCAGGCTTGAATCTGAGCCCTAACATTTCCTAGCTCTGTGACCTTGGGCAATTTGCCTAACCTTTCTGTGCCTCTGCAGGATAATATCTGTCTCATAGAATTACTGTAAGAGTTAAATGAGTTAATACATGTGTACATAAAGGACTTAGACAAGTTCCTGGCATATAGTAAATGTTCAACAAATGTTAAATGTAACTAATTTTATAGTGGGTGGGAAGGTGATTATTTTAATTTTCTGTTTACATGTTTAACTCTGTTTATATGCTCAATTAAACAGAATTCAACTGTTCACTCTGTATCTCCCATGCCTAGTAATTTTGTTAGGTGAATGCATGTTCACTGGTAAACAATCCTAATGTAGTGAGAGGTACTATAACGGAGCTTGAGTACAAGGCACTTTGCAGGACATGAGGGATATGATATGTTATGCTCAACTTTGAGCAATTCAGGGAACATTTGGTTGAGAGGGGCTGTTCCCTTCTAGAATTTTCAGTGCAGTCAGATCTATGAGAGCCAACAGCATCCAGGAACTAGGTAAAGTGATGCTAGAGAGTCACCAGGTGGCAGTACTGCACAGGGATTCAAGTAGAAGAGGAAAAGAGGAGCCCTTTCCAGCCAAGAGTTCATGTTTATGTCTGACGTTGTTCTTCTCTCCTCTCCACAGAAATTCAAGCCATGATTTCTTCCCCTTTGTTCTGCTGGTTTTGGAGCACTGCTATTCCTACCCAAGGCTGCTTGGGAGTCATCTGGCGCTCAAGCCGCTCTGTCTTTACCAGGCAGAGGAGAGAAACCATGCTGAGTATATTTCCAGTTCTTTGCATGTTGGGCTTCTAACTCCCACACCACCGACTTGTTTCTTCTGCTATGCCCTGGATGGAATTAAAAGAGTGAGATGAGAAGCAAAACTAACATTTTTTGAGACAGCAGGCACTGTATCAGAAACTTTATATAATCACGTTGTTGAATTGCCACAGAACCCTGAGAGATTAATTTTGTAATTTATTTTGTCCATCATCTTGCTTCAGCAATTATTAACATAGGCGTGGCCAGGCTTGTTTCAGCTATACCCCCCATCCAACACCACTGGATTATTTTCAGGCAAATCCCAGATAATTTTTCACTGCATAATTTCATTTTTAAATACTTTCTTACATTCCTCTAAAAGGTAAGGACTTTTAAACACACCACAGTATCATTATAACACTTTAAAAAAACCCAAGCAATAATATCCTAACATTATCAAATATATACCAAGTATTCAAATTTACCTAGTTGTCTCATTTTTAAAACTGTATTTGGTTCATTCAAATATGGATTCAAACAAAGTTCATAGATTTAATTCATTTGATATATGAGCTGTGAGCCATTTTACATAGAGGGAAACTGAGGATCAGAGAGGATCATCAGTTCAGTATTCAAAAACAATTCTCTATTGAATCAGACCTGGTACCAGATGTTGGGGATACAAAGATTAGGAAGACCCAAGTCTCTGCTTCAAGGAACTCAGTCTTATGCTCCTGTAATGCTCTGTGAATATATCTATCACAAGACTTAATACACTATGTTATTAGTATGTGGTTGTGTATCTGTCTTCCCAGATAGGTGGCAAATTCCTTAGAAGGCAGGGGCCAGTTCATAGTCAACACTGTAATCTGTAACATCTTACGGAAAAACCTGAACGAACTTTTTGGCCAACCCAATACTTAACGTAGTCCCTGGTACATAGTAGGTATTTAACAACTATGGGGAAAGGAATAATTTTGTCTGACTGGGCAGTGGGAACCAGTGAAGAGTTTCAGGCAGGGCAGTGACATGATAAGGTTATCACTGTAGGTAGGTGACACACGTCATCATTTGGATTGGAGGCGGAGAAGGGGCTATTGCTGAGTTCATGCTACAGAGGAGGAGTGCCAGACTAAAGCAATGGCGGTGAGTATGGAGAGGAGAAGACAGACTGGAGAGTTACTGAGGATGTGAATTTGGCAGTATTTGGTAATTTCTTAGATGTAGAGAATGAACGTTTCTGGCTTGGGTAATGGTGGTGCCACCAGTAGATTCAGTGCAAAGAGGAGAAGCGAGTTTGGGGTGGAAGATGAGTGCCACTTTGGACGTGCTAAGGTTGTGTCCATGTGATCTTCAGGAGGATGTGTGAGACCAGAGCCCAGGTCGGCGGTCAGGAGTGAAGATCAGGGGATCACAGCGTGTAGGTGGAGCTTGAAAGCCTGACAGTAGATGTCATCACTCGGGAGAGGACATGCAGTGAAACAGGGAGTGGACTAAGGAGGGAACCCTGACACTTACCAAGGGAGTGGAAAATGAGAAGCCCGTGAGAGAGATGAGAAAGGAACAGCTGGGGAGACTGGAAAAAAATCAGGACAGTGTGGTGCCACAGAAGCCAAGAGAAGAAAGAGTTCAGGAGAGAGGGAGTGGGAGTGGTTGACACTCTTGAGGCAGGTAAGGAAGTAGTGGTAGAGGATAGCTCAGTGCTACAGCCAGGGTGTGGTCGGTGGTGGAGGAGTGGCAGGTGGTGAGCCTAGAAAGGCCAGTTGGTCCCTCATCCAAAAAGGCCTTGGTCACCCAGCTGTGGAGTTAAGACTTCATTCTGTAGCTAATGGGGAGTCATCAAGAGGTTTCAAAAAGGAGTGACCTGGTCAGATCGGGGTGCTCTAGAAAAATCAGGCTGAGGCAGTGTGGAGGATGCTGTGGAGGAATAGGACTGGAGGCAGGGCTCCTTGGAGTGGAATAAAGTGGCACTTAGGCAGTGGAGGTATGGACTGTCTTCCAGGACTTTTAGTAGGTAAAATTGGCAGGCATTGAAAACGGTAGCTAACACTCACTGAGCTTTTATTATGTGCCAGGCGCTACTCTCAGTGCTTATGTGAATTATCTCACGTAATTCTCACGACCAATCTATGGGGTAGATAACATTATTGACCTCATTTTATGCCTGAGGAAACTGAGGTACAGAGAGATAAAGCAATTTGTGGAGGATCACGGAGCGGGTAAACGACAGAGCCTAGATTTAAGTCCAGGTGGTTGGTCCTAACCCACTCTAACCTGTTTCACTGCATGCCACTTTTAACTTCTAGATTGTTTTGCCTTGATTAGATGTGGGGAGTGAGGGTATTAGGATTAGGTTCAGCTGTGAGCTATCAGGCATCCAAAATAACAGTGGATTAAACAGGATAGAAATTCATTTCTCTTTCATTAAAGAAAGAAATTCATTAAACCCTAGAAGGCTTAATGGCCTGTCATCTCCACAGTGTGACACTTGTCCCCATGGTACAAGATAGAGCTTTAGTCATCACGTTCATGTTCTAAGCAGCAAAATGCTGGGTAGAGAGAAGGAAAGAACAGATACTTGGGACAACTGGTAGTCTTTGCTATAAGAGAAGTTCCAGAACTCTGCCATGGGTGATTGCAAGGAGGATGGGGTTACCAGGAGTTGAGGTAGAGAATACAGGAAACCTGTTGGACCTTTATTATTTTTGTTTGTTTACCCAGGGTCTTTCCCTTCCCTTGGAAACAAAACCCTATTTTTTCAGGGGGAGTGCTGCTCCTCTCCTGTCCAGCCATGCAGTTCTAGTTGGTGTTTCCAGTCCAAGTACCCTATTATCTCCCCAGTCTCAGTTGATTTGATTGGTTGGCATATGGGCGTGTGATCTAGATCAGAACAATCAGAATCCTTCGCTTCGGTTTTTTTTAAACCAACTTAAATGGGGGAAAGTATTGTGTCCCACTTTTGTGGCACAGCTTGGAGATGTGTGGCGAGGACCTGTTGGTGGCCCTTTTACAACTCCAGGGAGGAAGCTTGTCTGAGAAAATGCAGTCAGCATGCAGGATGAGCTGTAAATTCCTATTAGTGTTCAAGTCTCTGGTCTTGTCCTTGAGGCCCATCCACATCCTTGCCCTTTGTATGATTATGTGAGACTTCCAATAAATTCCTTCTTGTGTTCAAGTCAAAGTTGTGTTTCTGTCACTTGCAACCAATAAAGTCCTGATTAAAGCTGTATTCTAAAAGTTAATTCTGGAATCAATGTAGATGTGCTTAGGGTTTGTGTGTGTGGGGGGGTCATAGTAAATAGTAACCAGAAGCAGAAAGATAATTTATGAGACTGTTTTAATAGTCTACATGAGAAACAATGAGAATCTGAACTAAGGGGATGTCAGTGGGTACTGTAGCTCCTGGCCAGTCTTGCCATGTCTCTTCTACACCTTGAATCAGTTGCCCATATCTACATATTGATCATCTCTACCTGGATGGAATGCAACAGGTTGCTGTTCATTTTGAGCATGTTTTCCTCTGTATCCTTGGACATAGGTATAATAGCTGCTTAAAAACTCCTCTCTGTTAATTCCAACATCTACATCATCTTGGGGGCTAGTCTTCATTGATTACCTTTTTTCTTCAGTATGGGTCACATTTTTCTGTTTCCGATATGCCCAGTCATTTGGATTTGTCAGAGGACATGTTGTAGAGAATCTGGATTCCATTGTGTCCCTCTGAAGAGTATTGATTTTTTTGTTTTAGCAGGTGGTCAACTTGACAGAACTCAAACTCCATACTCAATTTCCCCTGCAGTAAGTACCAGCTGAAATTTCTATTTAGTTCTTTTAGTTTTATCTGAGGTATTTGGAGACTGCCCTGTGTGTGCATGGTTCAGAGGTTGGCCAGAGAGTTGGACAGAGTTTATACACAGAATTTAGGGCTCCACCTGTCAAGATCTCTCCATTCCAGTATTTTACCTCCATAGGCTCCAGCTGCTGAAATCCTGAATTCTGTCTTCCGGTAAAGACTCAGTTTTACCACCTATCCGGTGAATGATTGGGGCCTGCTCTGTGGCTAAAAGCCTTAAAAATTGGGAATCTCACCTAGTTCTAATCCTATCCTTTAACTGTAGTTTCTTTTCCAGTTTCTGCATGCTTCAGGTTGTTTGTCAGTACTTTCAGGTAGTTGTTTTTAAATATTTTGTCCAGAGTATATTGTTATATCTGAAGGAAAGGTGGCTTGATAGAAGCTACTCGGTCATTTACTGGAAGCCAGAACCTGCCTGGTCACTATTGTATAACCTGTGGCCAATGTAGCAAGACTCTTCTAGTCAGGTAATAAGAAATTATACCCAGATTATAACCAGATTTTAGCTCTCAATGATGTGACTTGAAAAAGGCAGTTTTATAACCAGATAAGCTAAATGTGATGAAGTTTCAGGATGACAGGTTTGGAGGTATGAGAAGCTTGATAAGCCCCCACCTGGGCTTTCCCATGAACTAAAATGAGTTCACTCTGGACAGGCAGGGTCCTGCTGCCACAAACCTGAGTGCCTGTTTCCATAAGGAGATTCACTTTTTAAATATCCCCTGTCCTGATATCTCTTAGTCACCTCATCTTTAAAAAAAATTATCTGAGTTTATTGTAATAAATGTAACTTCTATATAATTCATAGATCAGAATGAGAGGCCAAGGCCCCTACCCAGTCCTCTGCCAGATCTAGTATCTGGGATGGAGAAGAGTGGATAAATTGCAAAACTTTTTAGCAGGTTGAATGGTTGGGGATTGGTGACAAAGTATATGAGGTGGAATTAGAGGGTAGAGTTAAGGATGACTTCCAAATTTCTGCCTTGGGCATCTGGAAGGATGGTCAATACAAAATAGAGGATGTAAGAAAGAGAGCAAGTTTAAGGGGGAAGATGAATTCAGCTTTGGCCATGTTTGAGGTACCTGTGGGACATCCAGTCAGAGTACATCTGAGTCTGAGGATTGGAGAGAGATCTGGGATGGAGATGTATAATGGAGAATCTCCAGTGGATAAGTGATAGATGAGGCCATAGGTCTAGATAATGTAACCAAATAGCATGTACAGGGTGAGAAGAGAACTGATAACGAAGCCCAGTAGTTAAGGGGAGAACATAAGAAATGAGTCACTTTAGGAAACTGAGAAACAGAAAAATTAAAGACAAACAAGGAAAGGTGGTATACAAAAGTCAGGGGAGGAGAATTTCATGAAGGAGTTAGTGGTCAGTAGGGTCCAGTTCAGCAGAAAAAGCAAGCAAAGCAAGTACTGAAAAACAGGCATCGGATTTAACAACTAAGAGGTCTTTACCTCAGAAATTGCAATTTCGGTGGAGTGGCAAGGAGTGTTGCCAGATTGCAGTTTGAGGAGTGCACGGGTGTGGTAGACTTTAACATGTGTTTTCTGTTAACCATTCCTTCCAGTAATCATACTCCTGTATAGTCCCCTAGTCTTGAATCTGGTAAAGTCTCTAAATAAGTTTAACTGATAGAATGCAGGGAAGTGATGGTGCTTGACTTATGAGAGTAGGTCATAAGAAGCCTTGTAACTTTTGCCTTGGTCTTTTGGAGCTCCGAGCAATCATTTGAGAAGTCTGATCACCCTACTAGAGAGACCACATGGAAAAATTGTGAGACGACATGGAGAGAGAGAGAGAAGTCCAGCTGCACCCAGGGTTCCAGAAATCCCCACCAAGACGCCAAGCATAAAGGAAACCAGAACCATCTTGGCTCCACCAGATCAACCTAGCCACCAGCTGGATGCCGTTGAGTGGCTCCAGTAGATGCCACGTGGGGCAGAAAAACTGTCCAGTAAGCCTTGCCCAAATTTCTCACCCACCCATTCATTGCAATAATAAAATGATTATTGTTTTCAGTCCCAAGTTTGCGGGTGGTTTATTACACAGCAATGTATAACTGGAACGTTGGGCATTGAAGTAATAGAGATTGTAAATGCATGTTTTACTTCCAATAAGCTTGGAAAGGGAAAGATCAGATGGCAGCTGGAAGGTCTCATAAGATTGTGGTAGGATTTTTTTAAAGATAGTAGGGACTTGAGAATGTTTACAGCTAATGGGGCAGGAGCTAGGAGACAGAGAAGGTTGAAGATACAGAAGAGAGAGGTGATGACTGAGGCATGAGATTTCTGAGAAAGGAAGGGATGAGATCCAAAACTCCAATAGAGGAGCTGATGTTAGACATAAGGGTAGTGGGGCACTTCAATCTCTAAAATAGGAGATGTATTCCCTCCTCTGTATCTTTAAAAATCTCAGGCTTTCCCATGTACTGGACATAAGAGAGTATATGAAGGTTGGTTGGACAGTAATGGATCTCGCAAGAATTGGTTGACTGTGGTACTTTCTTTTGCTTACTCACTTTACCTAGACCAGGAAGTGACTAGAATTCATATCCTTAGTTCTATTTTTCCTGTTAACAAAGAGTTTATTCTGTGTACTGAGAATGTTGGGAGCAGGAATAGGTATTGGGCTTGAGGATAGTGATGAAGATTTGGAAGAGCTATTGTGAGAAGTGAGAGCAGGAACTGACTGAAGTTTTGTGGGAGGATTTCCAGGTGGTATTGGATTGAAAAACCACCAAAATGAGAGTGTACTGATCATTATACCCATGATATTTTCATTATCAGTTCTTAGAACACATGGCATAAGATAGAAAAGACAATCCTTGTTTGGATTCAGAGCTGATATCTTGGGGGCAAGATTTGATGAGAATATTGGTCAGAGAGGTAGAAGCGATTGATTGTGAGATATAGAGTAAAAAACAAGGAAATGGGAAGCCATGCTGGGAGGAAAATGGATGGATCAAGGAAGTCTTGATAAGGTTGAAGAGTTAGTGCAGTGGGGATAAGAGAGAGAATGAGCTGGAGAGACAGGAGTAAACTAAAGTTCACTGTTTAAAGAATTCTAGGTGATCACGAAGTTCAGGGTATGACCATGAAAGAAGGTCATTGGAGACAAGATGATCAAGGGAGTGACAGGCCAGGGTGTTGGATGAGTAAAAACATGGAACTTGAAATTACTTTAGGTAATGGAAAAACTTAGGGGTGGAAAAGAAGAAATTAATTGGGATGCCATAACCCTCAATGAATATAAGGGAGTGAACAGAGTTCAGAAGCTGACACAGCAAGAAGGCTGTGATGTACCTTACAGAGAAAATGCATGCATTGGATAAGCTTCATTCAGGCATGAGTTAGTGATGTTGACTGTGAGTTCAATTTATTGATTTAACAATACGGTACATCCAGAAAAGGGAAGAGGAAATTTGCTGACCTATATGTGACACCACTCCAGAAATCACTAAAATACCATTTGTGTGCGATGAAGCTACGGCAAAGATGGAAAAGCAGCTAAATTTGTAGGTTCATAAGATGACAGCCAAACTTTACAAAGCATAGTAAACAACATTTTTATGAGGCTGAGAGCCAAAGAAATTTAAGGTCATGTTACCTGGGTCAGGAAAATGTTAGACCCTTCTTGGTATTATAAAGAAACAGTGCAGGGACTTCCCTGGTGACACAGTGGTTAGGAACCCACCTGCCAATGCAGGGTACATGGGCTTGAGACCTGGTCCGGGAAGATCCCACATGCTGCGGAGCAGCTAAGCTCCTGTGCCCCAACTACTGAGCCTGTGCTCTAGAGCCCGTGAGCCACAAATACTGAGCCCGTGTGCCACAACTACCGAAGCCCACGTGCCTAGAGCCCGTGCTCCACCACAAGAGAAGCCACTGCAATGAGAAGACCGTGCACTGCAATGAAGAGTAGCCCCCACTTGTCGCAACTAGAGAAAGCCCACGTGCAGCAACGAAGATCCAATGCAGTGATAAATAAATAAATTAATTTTTTAAAAAAACAGTGCATATAATTATTTTAAGAAATATAAAATAAGGGGTCTTTAAACAGAAACACAAGTGAAACAAGGTTATATGTTGATTGGTTGATGAGAATGTGACCAGGGGCTTGCAGGAACCTTACCCTGTCTGTCTGCTAGGAGCAGTGACTCAGCATTTGCTAGTTCACTGCTCAAGGTAATTTTATTGAACATGACTGCCATGTATAACAAGAATTGATGTGTATATGTGTATGTGTGTGTGTTGGACTATTTTAATGCAAATTTCAGACATCCTAACATTTCCTTTGTAAATATTTGAGTATGTATCTCCAGCACAGTGGTTCTCCAAGTGTGATGTGGTCTAGGGACCCTGAAGACACCTGACACCTGAGACGCATTCAAAGTTCTGGGAAATCCTCCTTTTTCCCACTACATATCTCCATAAGGTTGGATTTTATTCATACACATCAACAAAAATAACCACAATCATATCACAATGATGAAGCAAATACGAGAGTCTAGCTGTCTTGTATTATGGCAGACATTACAGGGATTTTCAAAAATATAAAATATTTCTAAATTAGTTTTTGTTTTGGAAAATAGTTATTTTAATAAAATATGTTGTTTATGTTAACATGTGGGTTTATTATTATTTAATGAATTACTAAATGTTTTTAGATATTTTCAGTTTTGATTTTGAATATAGTAAATATTGGTAGATCTATAACCTATATAAGCAAAAGTCTTTAGGGTCTAAAACCATAGTAGTGATCTTTTTTTTTTTTTTTAGTAGGATCTTTTTTTACCATGTGCATGTAATTTTATTTTAAACTGTATTATAAAAAAGCTGTCAGAATTTTAAAAAGAAACACTAGTGCACTTCCCTTGAGCACATGTTTGCAAAACTTGCCAAAAGGAAAAGGAATTTTTAAACTACTCCAGCTATGCATGAAAAGGAACTAGCACAGAATGATTCTAGTAATTAAAGTCACCAAGGCTACTTTTTGAAACTCTGGAAATCCCACAGTAGCTTTTTAAAAAAACCTTTTTGTTTTTATTTATTTTTTTAAAACATTTTAATGCTACATTTTATATACTTTTATTTATTATTATTATTTCCTGGCCGCGAGGCATGTGGGATCTTAGTTCCCTGACCAAGGATTGAACCCACGCCCCCTGCATTGGAAGCCTGGAGTCTTAATCACTGGACCACCAGCGAAGTCCCCCTTTTTGTTTTCAAATAATTATGGCCTCACAGGAAGTTGCAGAAGCAGTGCTGAGAGGCTCAAGTGCCTGTCACCAAGCTTCCCCCAGTGACAGTATCTTATGTAATTACCATAAAATATCAAGTCCAGGAAATTGATATTGGTACAGTATTGTTAACTGGACTACAGACCATATTCAGTTGTCATCACTTTTTACACGCATTCATTTTCATGAGTGCATGTAGCTCTATACAGTTTTACCCCATGTATAGATTTGTGTAACAACCACCACAGTCAAGATATAAAACTGTTCAGGGCTTCCCTGGTGGCGCAATGGTTGAGAGTCCGCCTGCAGATGCAGGGGGCACGGGTTCGTGTCCCGGTCTGGGAAGATCCCACATGCCGCGGAGCGGCTGGGCCCGTGAGCCATGGCCGCTGAGCCTGCACGTCCGAAGCCTGTGCTCCACAACGGGAGAGGCCACAACAGTGAGAGGCCCGCGTACCGCAAAAAAAAAAAAAAGATCTTGGGGGGGAGCTGTGAGACAGGTGTCATGGAAACCAAGGAAAGATAGTATCTAGAAGGAGGGAGATAATGCAAAAGAAGGTCATTCAATGGCTAGTTTCTCCTGACAAAAGACTCATTTCATCTCTTAGCGTCTAATGAGACTGAAGGGAAAAAGGAAGGGAGAAAACCCATAATCTTAAATGAAGGCTATCAGACACAAAATTATTTAAAAGCTTTCTTTTGGCTATAACCCTCAGACTGATCTGAATGCCCAGGTCTCCCATCTCTTCCAAATAGGGAAAATACATACTTCCCAAATAAGGAAAAGCCAATGTCACACAAAGTGAAATAAAATATCGGGTATGCATCATTTTGGTGAAATAAAAATTTAGACAACTTCAAGTTTATATGACATAGAGAAGGACTGGGGGCGGGAAGAAAAAGGAATGAATTAGAGGATTTCAAAGCAGTGGTCTATACTGAACCCCCGAGCTAACTCCAGTGAAAAGGAAGGCCCTGGTAGGCGTAGCATTTATTTATTTTTCTTTTTACTCTACCTGGTCCCAGAAAGAAATTATGACAGCATAAACTTTATTTGGGTAAATCATTCAACAAGTGTTTATAGGGTAAAATTGAGAAAAGGTGAGCAGAAAGAGTAATACTTTAATCTAGGATAAATGAGTGGGCAGATTCCCTCCAAGGGTAGATTTAGAGAAGGATACAAAGGAGGCTACAAACCTGCAAGAGTCAGAGAATGTTGGGCGCCCCTGTGGCTTTGGGGGCCTGACTGGAGCTACCTCCTGCCCAGGCGTGCGGGAGGGGTCCCCTTTGGCTCCAGAGAGATGGAGGTGGCTGCCAGGGGCCCAGAAGTGCCCCAGAGGGATGCAAGGAGTGGGCCTCTTGAGCCTTTGCTCCTGGCCAGTTCTCAGCTAAAGGGTCCAAGGCAGAGGAACTCTCCCAGCCTCCTTCTGGCCATGAGGGTTAAGGAGCTGAGGCTTAAGGCACACCTGGACTGCTGGGGGTGGGGGAGGGGTGGAGGCAGAGCACAGGAGACTGTGCTCCACCCCCTCCACCTAGAGAGACTGTGGCTGAGGTGGATTGTAAGGTCAGTTGTGGAGTCATGGACAGAGCAGGAGGAAGAACCAGGGAGGAGCTTAAGGGGGGCGATTCTGGAAGGAGAAGCGCTTCAAGGCAGGTTCTGAGTGCGGCAGCCCAGGGAAGCCTGCAGTGGGCTTCTTGCAGTGCCTGGCTCCTAGCCCTCCCTCAGTGCCTCAGCCTGGGGGACCCCCCCTTTGTTTCTATTGAACAGGCTAGCGTAATTAGAGCCTCAACACCCCTCTCCTTTTGGGACCACACAGCCCAGGGTTCTGTGTGAAACTTCTGGGTCTGCAGTTCCTACCAGGCTTCCTGTCGATCTAGATGTGAGTCTCCTGCCCGACCATCATGCCCTGTCCCCCTCTTCCCGCCTCCCCTACCCACACAGCTTCCTGTTCCTCTCCTCCACACACCATCCCCCGCACAGCACACCCTGTCCTCTCACCCCTAGTTCCTTCCTGACAAACTCCCTCAGGTCTGCATTCATTTCACTCCACACCCTGACTTAAATGAAATCACCCCCCTACCAACCTTGTCCTGTTCACAAGGATAGGAACTAATGATATATCTACAAAGAACATGGGACCCTCAAGGACTGAGGTCATTTCAGTCATTTTTAAAAATCATCTCCAATCTGAAGCCATGAGATGGGGCAGGATCAGGTGTCCAGGAAGGTGTCTCCCCTATTAATGCCCTCAGTTCTGAAAGGCTATGTGGGCTTTCTGGCTTTCTAATTCCCCTGTTTTCACATGCCCTGGCATCCAGATTGCTTTTCATCTTTCCCTGGTGATTCCCATTTCTTAGGTCAGAGGGAGGTTAGCTGGGAGTCCTTGGGCTTCTGGTGTCCCCTAGCATGTAGCTAGGGTAAGGCTTGGGCCATGCCAAGCCTCCTGGTACTGAACTCTCATAAGTAGCTGCTTTCTATGTAATTGGAGAGGAGCCAGAGGGTAGTGTCAACCCAAAGGACAGTCTTGTTGTTGCCACCAGGTGGTGTCCAGAAGCAGTAGTAGCAGCAATCTAGGGAATCTGCACAGGGAAGGGAGAGCCACCCCTTTCCAAAGTGAACAGGAATGGAGCCCCTGAAATACCCATTTCTCATTTTTGCTCCCACCCTTGTCCTGTCATCAGATTTCTCAAGATGCATTAGCTAAGAAAGCATTGGGGCATTATTAACTAGTAGGTGCAAATTTGACTCTGTGATATAGGAGAAAGGTCAGTTGTGATAAGGGAGTCTTTGGGAGATAGCTCCTTTCAGCTTCTCTTTTCCTCATCTTAAAATGAGGTTGATAAACCACCACTTCACAGTATGAGCTTCCCCCATTTATAGTTTCTATATGTAGTTTTCTTATTATTTTCCTTCTATGTTCCTAAAAGTAATATCACACACGGAGACAGTAAACTTGATGATTATATATATTAATTGACATAAAAATCCACAACATACATTGCTTGGTGAAAAAATACATAGAATAGAAAAGCACTTACATTTGATCACTTTTATCTATTATCTATCTTGGTACACAGGAATAGGGAAATATCGAGAAGGACATTTATCCAAGGACTGACAATGGTTATACAAGGATGGAGAGTTTCAGGTAATTTTTACTTTAGTTTTGTATTTTCATTCATTTTTTGAAGGTTTAACAATGACTTATACTCCTTTCACAAAAAGAATAAAGTCATCAAGGAAATAGACACACACACAGAATAGATCCTTAGGCAGATGGAGGGGGGAGCAGGGACAGAGGTCAGGCTGTCCTCTCCATTTTGCTGGTATTCACAACCTCTTCTTCCCCAATGAAAGTCACTTTGTGGATTAATTCATGCACCTAGAATCCTCCCCCACCCCCTCCCCTGTTTTCCCCATCACCAGTCTCTGAATACAGTTAAGGGTTCACTTAGGGCAGGGTCTAGCTCCTTATTGTGGCTCAGAGAGGTCACTGTGTTCCCCAGGGACCTCTTTCGACTTCTTCTCCTCTGTATGTGTCAGATCCTGCAGGGTGATGATCACATTCTCAAACACCTGGGCCTTGTTGCTCTCATTGTCACAGGTTTCCTTTGAGTGGCCCTCCTCACCACAGTATGAACAGCGGACTGTATATTTTCTCTTCCTGCCTCTACGTATATCTCCAGGACCATCATTCTTATATGCAGAACCACCACTGGTAGAAGGAGACTGAGCCTGAGAACTGTTTAGGGAATTGATGACCAGTATTTGAGCCTGAAGTCTGGCCCTGACTCTGAGGGGAGGGGCACCTATGGATGTAAGTGGAGGGTTCTGAGACTCCACCAGGATCACATACTCATCTGAGTCATTGAGGGTATCATCTACCTCTATCACGTCACAATCAGCAGTGCTGATGGCTATTGGCTGGGGGCCCTGAAATGCCACAGGGCTTGCTGCCCTCTCCATGATTAGCTCAGATCTTTTGGGCCGCTTCCGTTTCATAAAAGTGTCATCCCAATCCTCTTCCTCCCTTATCATCTTGATTAACTCCAGGAAATTGGGAAGCCACTCCAGATCATTTGCATACATCCTGAGAAGATGCTTCAGCCTGAAGCGCAGGTCCCCATTCAACTCAGCCCCTAAAAGGAGCTGATGCAGGCGAGTCTGGTTTGTATCTTTCTCAGCTATGATCCCTGCCTGAATAGCATTCTGGAGCTGCATCTCTAAACGGATCACATAAAGGGAGGTTTTCTCCCCTTGTGCCTGCAAAGTGTTAAAAAATTTACCATGGGCAGTGACACTGCTTTCAGAATCCCCAAACACCAATTTCATGGTGCGCAAGAAATCTGCCACACTTAGGTTGGGGTTGGCCACCTGCAGCAAACGCATGACCTCCCGCGCGGGGCCCCTAAGGGTTTTCATCAAGCGCTTGAGTTTTTCCTCCTCAGACATATTCCAATCCGGCAGGGCCCCATTGACTTGGATCAGCCAGTTTTCAAAGGTTTCTTCCCCTTGGGCTGGCACCACCCTCCCCGAGAACAACTTCATGTTTCTTTCTGCCATATTGACCCTTAAAGGACCAAGACTCCTCCCTAGGGACTTCAATATGGAATGGGCCCAAGGTGGCAAGGGTGTGTTCTGCCGCCGGCTATTACCCACACGTGCAATGATGCTAGCCATGATGGACGATGATCATCTATCTGAATATAACAAAATGCTCAGGCTTTTTAGAATAGCCTAATCTGCAGGAGAAATCCCCAAAGCAAAGTTTCTGGGCTCTGCCTTCCTTCTATCTCAGTAGGAACTGTAAAGAAAAGGGGGTGGGAAAGGTCAGTAAGGCAGTAGACTGCAGGAAAGCAGTCTGCGGTCGCTTTCTTTACCTTCCTGAACGCCCTGAGGTACATGTTCCATTTGTCCACTGCCTGGAAAATATCCTGCAGGAAACTGGCAATTACAACCTTCAGGAGCTAATGGGTGTCCCCGTGCTAGCAGGGTGCTTTTCAGAGCTACAACCATCCCCTCCTGCCAGACCTCCAGGTGGGAGAGCCACTGTTGCTTAGAATTCTAGGTGAAATAGTCAGTGTGTGGAGCCGATATTGGGCTCTCAAAATAGAGTGCAATGGTCTAAGTCTCACAGATTTGTGGTAGCAAGTAAGATCTCCATTAAATTCATGGTCTCACGTCTCAACCACATCCCCTTCTCAAAGTTTGCCCTGTTATTTCTCAAGATTCTTATATGAGCTCAGAAACAAGTGCGCGCCTTTATTTCACGTTCAGTCTCTGCAACAGGTGCCTCCGTGAGAAAGCTCGATTCCGAGGTAGGTCTACCTCTGTCCATATGAGGTTGCAGATCCCAGTCCTCAGGACCATCACGGAGGGCAGGGCAGGGAAGGGAAGAAGCAGTCTCACCCCTCATCCCGCTCCCTCGACCCCTCCTCCGCTGTAGCCAGACGGAAAATTCCCTCTCCCACCTTGTGAATACAAGCCAAAGCGACTTCCCCACACCCCACTCCGGGAAATCGTTGGCCTACCAGCTCCGCAATCAGCCGCACAGAATTCAAGTTCGGATTCGGCTTTGATGGCCTGCCACGGAGAAAGGGAATGGGAGTTGGACACGCACACCCACATATCCCTCACCAGGAAGGGACCAGGAGATGCAAAGAGGGTTCAAGGCAGACAGCTTGCGATTCCCCCCACCCTTCCCGCCCCATTACTACCCCCTGAAAACGCCCTCCCGCCAATCCTGGCAAATCCTACCCATTCGGCAGCATCCAGTGGAACCCACCTCCTTCCTCAGCGCAGCGGGGCCGCGGCAGTGCTCCTTCCCCTGCCTCGCAGTCCCCGATTCCGCAAACGGGGAGCCGCCCAGTCCTGATGGGGCTTTACCCTCCTCTCTCCGGGCCTGGCAATCGCGCCCCTTTTCTTTACCTGTGTTGGGCTGGTGGACAGCCCATGCTCCGGCGTGGACAGCTGTGGATGCCGCCTGACGGTCACCGTGGCCCTGCAGGGGAAAAGATGACGCCTCCTAAGCAGCTAAGCGACCCGGAGCCGCCAGACGGAGCCGCTTCGCCCAGCTAAGGGTAGCCGAGTCGAGGCAGCGCGGTTCCCAAGGCAGCAGCGGCCGCCCCCGCCCACCCGCTGAGCCCTCCCAGCAGCCGCCGCTTCTTTTAGCCTCTGCCCATTGAGACAAAAGAGCAAGATGAGTCGGGCGGCGCGGCCAATCAACGGGGCGAGGGGGCGGCCTCCCCGCGCAGCCTCCTGCCCGAGGCCATTGCTAGCAAAAGGGGGGAGACGGCCGGCTGGGGCTGCGGCACACAGGCGCGGGAGCCGGTGCGGTGTCAAGTCCAGCTCGGACTCTCGGACTGGGCCGATTTGCATTTTACCCGTGAGTTTGCTGCTTCCCCCTCGCTTCCTTTCTCCTTCTCCCCTTACACCTCTGTGGTCCTCCGCGCTTTGAGACCGGATGCCTTCAACACGAGGTGGGACAGAAATCAAGTGAACAATAAGAGTTCCTCACCTTTGTATAGGGGGATGGGATGAAAATCATTTACTGAGCGCTTTCTGCGTGCAAACGCGCTTGCACGGACATCTCATTTATTCGTCTCAGCAGCCTTGTGAAGGAGTAGCAGTATGCCCATTTAACAGAGAGGGGACTTAAGCATCCAGTCACTATGGTTAGGAAATGCAGAGCTACGAGCTCACACCCAAGTCGACTTGACTGATTTCAAAGGCTGCCCCTTGTAAACACTCCTCTCTACTCTCAGATTGAGGGTTAGTTGAGAAAAGCCAAAGCCAAAGTGGAGATGGGAAGGCCCACTTGGAACTACTATATAGAACTGGTGAGCAAGGACTATCATCTCCATTTTGCAGATGAGGAAACAGTCATAGAAAGGTTAGGCGTCTTGCCCGACATCATACAGCAAATAAGTATCAGCATCCGGTTTTACACCCAAGTCTGTTCTCCATATGCCAACGATTTGCCCCGCTGAGCTGCCTGGGGGGCATTTTTTAAGCGGGTGGTCTTAAACCAGCTCAACAGCAGTCTTGGTGTGCTGGTAGTGCTGAGAGAGGGCTTGGGGAGGCAGTGGGAAGAGGGCAGTGGGGAAGAGGTAGGGAACCTTTATGGTACCTATTGTACAGAAGAGGAAACTGAGGCACTTTTCTTTCTCATTTTTACACTACAACAAGCTGCCTGCTTTTTCTTTAAGTAAAAAGTTATTTTTACATCTTATGACCCCCAAAGGAGATAAGACTCAGAGAGGTGAAATGACTTGCCTGAAATTACAAGGTGAAGCCAAAACTTGTATCCCATCTCCCTGACACCAGAATCCATGCTGTTAACCAAAGTATGGGTACAAGGCTGGCTGCCTCAGAATCATTTTGAAAAGCTTGTTAGAAATGTAGATTCCTAAACTCTACCTCTGGGGGATTCGGATTTACTAGGACTAGGGCTGGGGAGGATGATTTATATTTTTAACCAGTGCTGTAGTTAATTCTGAGGTGTAGAGAGGTTTGTGAACAACTGCTGGAGACACCACGTTATGCTGGTGGTAATAAGTAAATGGGGCTGTGGCCAATGTATCTGTCTATACCATATCTGTCGTGAAATGTAACTCCAGAGCAGAGTTTCCTATCTAGGGTCCTTCCTGAAATTGTTTGCAAAGAGTAGAAGTTGGACTCTGTATATTCTTCTGAGTCTTAGCTTTGTAGATTTTCAAATGAGTCTGTGGCCCAGAAATGGTTAAGGACCACTCCCCTACAATCTTTCTTCCTAACATTTTCTCTCTCAACTTGTACTTGAGGAAGAAGTGTGAGAAATGAAACACAATTTGACCTAACCCCCGAACTACAGCTCTCTGCCGCTGATAATAGCTCTTTCATTTCTTGGCTTGAGGACACGTTGCTAGGTTGCCCTTCTGTGAGCTCTTGAGGGGACCTCTCCTTTGCTGGATTTGGCATCACTGGCCCCAGAGAAGGAGCAACTCCATGGAAACGGCATGCAGGGCTGTCCAGAGTGAATGGGCTGTGAAATCAATGGCAGAGAAATCTGTACCATTTTCCATGATTTCTGGTTCTTGAAGAGCAGGTCTTACTTCCCTTAGGTAGACTGTGGTTAGGAGGCCCCTTTCAGGGCTTGTTCTTGACTCCTGATGCATTGAAGCAAGTGAACAATCTGATACCCTTCGACTGCTGTTGGGTTGTCTTCAACCTGCATACTTCACCTTCTCCTTTCTGCTTTCTTATTGACTACCTCAATACCTAGAGTTCCTTGGAGTAAACAGTGAACATTTGGAGATGAAGCACCTTCCATCTGAGGACTGTGGGCTTGTTCGTGGATGGAAGAGTGTGGGGAGTTAGAGGGTGGAGGGTGTAGGAAGTAAAGAGAAGACTCGCTTCACACAATCAGGGGTGATGCTAGCAGCAGCTCTAGGGTTTCCTTCAGACTCTTGCTTCTGCTCCCCAATATCATGACATCTGACCCTGGGTCTCTTGCAGATTCTTGTTCTGTGTTTTAATTGGCTTCATCGCCAAAGTAGGTGATCTGCAGTTGGACCTGGTGGGTGTGGGATCAAATAGGACAAAGAATAGATCTTATAGCTCCGACAAAAAATAGTGGAAGGAAACAGATTGTGTACAGGTGCCTGGATTGGGCCATTAGAACAAAGTGAGGGTCTCTTCCTGCAAGACTGGGAGGAGGATTTGCTAAGCTAGCTCCTATTAGATATAGGGCATCCCTGATCTCTGGCCTCGTGTGTGGGAGTGTGTTCCAATTCATGGCTCTAATGAGACCACATTTTCCAATTTCAACAAAGAAACCTAAAAAGCCTGAAGGTTAGAGAGGTAAAGCTATTAGTTGAAGCAACAATAGCTGCCCTTGGCTGCCTGGCTCCTCTGTGCCAGGAACTTTCCATCTGTTATCTTATTTAAGTTTCTCAGCAACGCTGTTGAGACAGGCATTGTTATCCCATTTTGCAAAGCCCATAAAGGACTCTTCTCTGTTGTCTTACAAACAAGAAATGAAAAAAAAAATCTTCCTTCATTTTATTTTTTATCAATATTTTTTAATTGAAGTATAGTTGATTTACCATGTTGTGTTAATTTCTGCTGTACAGCAAAGTAATTCAGTTATACATATATATGCATTCTTTTTAATATATTCTTTTCCATGATGGTTTATCATAGGATATTGAATATAGTTCCCTGTGCTGTACAGTAGCACCTTGTTGTGTATCCATTCTATATATAAAAGCTCACATCTGCTCACCCCAACCTCCCACGCCATCCCTCTCCCAATCCCCACCCCCTTGACAACCACCAATCTGTTCTCTATGTCCGTGATTCTGTTTCAGTTTCACAGATAGGTTCATTTCAAACAAACAATTCAAAATGTACTCTGCAGATGACCCAGTGCATTAGACTGATTTCAGCCTTTACAACAATGTTGTTGTAATCTTACTTATATTACTGGGATCTCATTTTTTTTTTTTTTTTTGCGGTACGCAGGCCTCTCACCGTTGTGGCCTCTCCCGTTGCGGAGGCTCCGGATGCGCAGGCTCAGTGGCCATGGCTCACGGGCCCAGCCGCTCCGTGGCATGTGGGATCTTCCCGGACTGGGGCACGAACCCTTGTCCCCTGCATTGGCAGGCGGACTCTCAACCACTGTGCCACCAGGGAAGCCCTGGGATCTCATTTTTTTAAAATCAAGCTACTAATATAATTTATGGACCAACTTGTATACCGGGTAATGCACTAAGCATTTTATATACTTCATAACATGAAACCTTCATGACAATCATTTTACAGATAAGGATACTGAGGCTCAGAGAGTGGAAGAGATTTGGCAAGGGTCATAAAGCTAGGAAGCGGCACAGTGAAATTCAAACCCAGGGCTGTCTGACTCCAGAGGCTGTATCTTTATGCTATAATGCACTGCAGTGGGGAAAACAAGGCGCTCATTTTACATCACCTTGTCTCTGTCACCCACAGATCTCTCTTCTTCCCACAGCCTGTAACCAGAGCCAGGTACCACTCATGTTTTAGGCATCTGTGCCTTAGGCCTCTTCCTCAGCCTAGAACTCCTCCTGTCACTCCTCCACCTAACGAGTGCCTGCTCACTGGTTAAGGATCAAGTCAGCTGCCCCTCCTCAGAGAAATTTTTGGCTGCTCCCTATCCTAGGTGAAATAAATTGCTCTTATGTTTTGCTCTGACCTTGATTAGTGTATGCTTTATTTTACCTCCCAGTATAGTTTAGCTCATGGTTGACCTGTCTCCCCCACTAGATTCCCAAGCCCTCGAGGGCAGGTACCAAGTCCTGTTCACCTCTGGCTCCACAGTGACTTACTTATAGTGATTTCGTAGATGATCAATATGTGTTTGAGCTGGCCAAAGGAATGGCTGAAGGATGCCGGAATGAACAGAGAAATGTAGGGCTGGATCTTGGCGCAGTCATGCAAGCTGTGCATCTGGGCTAGACTGGCCAGGGGAGTCTAGAATCCCCTTGGCTCACTTTACTAGGCTGTAAACATAGGAGACACATTATGGGGTCCAGGGGGTAACTGTTGTAGGCTGACTCCAGACTCATTCTGTGGCCTCTATTTAGAAATTCTTGTTTAAGGGGCCAGGCTGTCCTGGATTGTTTATATAACACCTTTGCATTCACAGAAGAAAGGTCTTCCTTGCCTCTCATGTGAACACAAGATACCACTTCATCTTGTTCTGAGTATCCTGCAGGAGTGTCTGCAGCATCCTCACAGACGATGAGGTCGGGAAGCATCTTTTGTAAAAAAATGTTGTTTACTGAGGCCACCATGCCATGGATGGTCAACCACTTTATCTCATTTTATTTTGTTGATCTTTGCAACAACCTTTTGAGGGAGGTCTATTGGCCTTAGTTTGTACCTGAAGAAACTGAGACTGAGGAAGTGTCTTGCCTAAGGTCACACAAATAAGCAAGTGGTGGAGGGAGAATTCAGGCTCAGGTCTGTCTGCCCCCAAAGGCTGGCATTTTAATGGAAAAACACATGGGAGTAAAGTAGACTCCCCCTCCCCCATAAAACAGGAAGAATTAGATTTATAAAATGATGACAGATATTTAAGGTAAATTGTTTCTAAATTATTGTTCAGCTTTAATCCCTGAAAATGACTGGCAAAAATGGCAGAAGGAACCAGTGATGGAAAAAGCACAATTCCTCTATCAAATACTGGCCTGAATTCCCCCACATCAGCCGCCTGCCACATGCACAGTATGAGGATGCCTAGAGAGCATTCCTCCCTGTCTGCTGATTTTACAACTGAGATGCATTACACTCCAAGATGTCAATATATTTCTAAAGGTCACACAAGAAGTTGATAAGAGAACTGGCACTGAGAATTCTGGTCTGCCAAATTCTAGCCCAGTTTTCTTTCTGCTAAGTCAGCTCTCCCTATACAGTCAATCAACACATGTTTACAGGTTACTCAGGAAAATGTGGGGAGGAAGTGGAACATTACTGCACTCTGAGATAGAAGAGGGGACAAACGTTTCCCTCACCACCTGACCTTACGTAGGTGCAGGTAAAACTTGGGGAAGAAATCCTTGGTAGGAATGCTGGGTAATATCAGGCGCCCCTGTGGCTGTGAGGGCCTGACTGGAGCTACCTCCTGCCCAGGCGTGCGGGAGGGGTCCCCTTTGGCTCCAGAGAGATGGAGGTGGCTGCCAGGGGCCCAGAAGTGCCCCAGAGGGATGCAAGGAGTGGGCCTCTTGAGCCTTTGCTCCTGGCCAGTTCTCAGCTAAAGGGTCCAAGGCAGAGGAACTCTCCCAGCCTCCTTCTGGCCATGAGGGTTAAGGAGCTGAGGCTTAAGGCACACCTGGACTGCTGGGGGTGGGGGAGGGGTGGAGGCAGAGCACAGGAGACTGTGCTCCACCCCCTCCACCTAGAGAGACTGTGGCTGAGGTGGATTGTAAGGTCAGTTGTGGAGTCATGGACAGAGCAGGAGGAAGAACCAGGGAGGAGCTTAAGGGGGGCGATTCTGGAAGGAGAAGCGCTTCAAGGCAGGTTCTGAGTGCGGCAGCCCAGGGAAGCCTGCAGTGGGCTTCTTGCAGTGCCTGGCTCCTAGCCCTCCCTCAGTGCCTCAGCCTGGGGGACCCCCCCTTTGTTTCTATTGAACAGGCTAGCGTAATTAGAGCCTCAACACCCCTCTCCTCTTGGGACCACACAGCCCAGGGTTCTGTGTGAAACTTCTGGGTCTGCAGTTCCTACCAGGCTTCCTGTCGATCTAGATGTGAGTCCCCTGCCTGACCATCATGCCCTGTCCCCCTCTCCCCGCCTCCCCTACCCACACAGCTTCCTGTTCCTCTCCTCCACACACCATCCCCCGTACATCACACCCTGTCCTCTCACCCCTAGTTCCTTCCTGACAAACTCTCTCAGGTTTTCAGATCTGCACTGAACATTCATTTCTTCTTGATCCCAAATTTCCTTCATGGACCCTGGCTCCCCAGTTACCTTTCATACAACTCCATCTGCTCCCAGACCATTCTAGGGTAGGAGCAGTATTTTGGAATCCTTGAATGGCCTCTTCGATCTAGTATAGTGGTTCTGAACCAGGGGCAATTTTACCTCCTCCCTACCCACCGGGGACATATGGCAATGTTTTTAGATATTTTTGTCTGTCAGAGCTGGGCAGGTCACAACTTTTGCTACTGGCATCCAGTGAGTAGAGACCAGGATGCTGATAAACATTGCACGATGCACAGGGCAGGCACCTACGACAAAGAATTATCTCGCCCCAAATGTCAGTAGCATGTACGCTGAGAACCCCTGCACTGTTATATAGCTACAGGTCTACAAGGTTAAGCTTGGAAACTGTCAGGTACAGAGCCTTTTCATGCTAAACTTCCAGGAACAGCTAATCTTTCTGTTCCTCAACTGGGAGAGGGGGCGGGGTGTTGCCATGAAACAGCTACCACATTGTCAGGAATCTGCAGAGAGAGAGGCAAGGAGATTCCCCGCTCCCTAAATTTACTACCAACTTTTAGAGAAAGTACTGGACTACAACTTTTGAATGCCTTTCTGTCTCTACAAGATAGTGCCACTTTTTGGAAAGAGAATAGCAACTTATTATTTTAACAGTTTATCAAATGCAAGATTTCATGTGGTGAATGCAGTAAGGTTTCAGAGCCCTCCTTTCCCAATTTTATTTTCTTCAACCTTCTTTGAATATGAGAGTATTTGCTGGATCAGAAAAACACTGTAGAGGTGTCTCTGTTCAGCAAAACTCACTGCCTTTGTTTTAATTTAAAGTGGATGAATTCTTTCTTAAGAGTGCCCTTGTTTCTCAGAAACTGGCCCCCCAAGTTGCTTGTTCCCTTAGAGCTGAGTTTCTTGGAACTCTGTTTCTAACTAAGCAATGAAAATGCTCACTAACAGATTTCATTGGTCAGTCTAACCTCTTTTTTTTCCACTCTTGCCAGTCTCTTCCCTCTGCACCCAGTTATCTTCAGCATGGGGGAACAGAACCACTCTCCTGGGAAGGAGCTTCAGCACTGGACACGAACAGAGTCTCCGGGAAAGAGAAGCTGGCACTCCCAGGCCTACGCCCTTGGGGCCGTTTCCAACTTTATGTCTACTTTTCTGACCTTTCCTATCTATAAGGTTGTGTTCCGGCAACAGATCCATGCTGTGGCGGTGTCAGAGGCTGTGCGGCAGCTTTGGCATGAAGGCCCTCAATATTTCTACCGGGGAATCTACCCGCCTCTTCTCTCCAAGACGTTGCAAGGGACTCTGCTGTTTGGGACTTATGATAGCCTGCTGTATTGTCTCTCCCCTGTTGGGCCACACTCCCTGGGACACCGCTGGGCTGCAGGGCTCATGTCTGGTGTAGTGGAGGCTGTGGCACTCAGCCCCTTTGAAAGGGTGCAAAATGTGCTCCAGGATGGTCGCAAGCAAGCTCGCTTTCCCAGCACCTTCAGCATTCTCAAGGAATTCCACTCTTATGGGCTTTGGGGGCGGCTGTCGCTGGGTTACTATCGCGGTTTCTGGCCTGTCCTTCTCAGGAACAGCCTGGGGAGTGCTCTGTATTTCTCCTTCAAGGATCCCATTCAGGATAGCTTGGCAGAGCAAGGCCTGCCCCATTGGGTTCCTGCCTTGGTGTCTGGGAGTGTCAATGGAACAATCACCTGCCTAGTTCTGTATCCTCTGATTGTGCTAGTTGCCAATATGCAGTCCCATATTGGCTGGCAGAGCATGCCAAGCCTGTGGGCCTCTGCCCAGGACGTGTGGGACACTCGGGGCCGAAAGGTGTTCCTGATCTACCGTGGAGGTTCCCTGGTCATCCTAAGGTCCAGCGTGACATGGGGCATCACTACTGCTATCCATGACTTCCTCCAGAGGAGGTATCGTTCCAGGAAAGAGCTGAAAGACTGACTAGCTGCAGGCAGTGTGGCCATGGCAACTTGTTATTCTAAGCTTTCCTGGGTTGGTTTAAATAGCTTACTTCTTTAGCTTGGTCACCTAATACAACTATTCTTTAGCATCTTTCAACTGTCATTGCACTCGAGAAGTTCCCAACTACCAGCCTATTGGGCAAAGACAAAGCCAACAGTGTTCCTTGGTTAGCAAAAGAAATTCACCCCGGTCTATCCACAGCTTCAACAGGCTCAGACCCAGGAAGCCTTTAAGTAACTGGTAAACCACATGAAATGTCATTCCTTTAAGGAATTCACTGACTCTAAAAGATATGAATAAGAGGAAACTCTAAAAGGTGACCTTAATTAGGCACTGTGAGTTCTGGGACCCCTCCAGTTGTCCTCTGGACCAAACTGAGTGGAGGATCAGGAATTCCAATTTCAGAGAACAAAGCTTGACTCTTAGGATGGGGATTCCATAGACTTTCTCAGATGGCTACATTTTCATGACATTGTTCACTACTCCTGCCACCACCACCACTCTCACTTCTCAAGGCTATGGGTACTAGTTTCAGGGTAGCAGTTATGGCTGGAAATCCTGAGTTACACTTGCCTCAACTGATCATGTGCCACAAGAACTGATGGGAGTGGGAAGAAGTGTGGTCCCTGGATGGATGGGAAGAATAGACTTTGAGGGAATAGGTTTAGTTGCATGCAGAATAGAAAATTCTACTATAGGTTGATTGGTGTTAAATGCTGGGACAGTTTTGATAGCAAGGCAATAACATTGCCTAGAAACCACTTGAGGTTCCCTAAGAAATCTGGAACTGGAATGACTATATCTCTTCATAAATAATTGCATATTTTATTGCTGTGGATAAATATAGTTACTGTGACATAAGTTAAAGATCTGAAATTATAGCCTGTCATTCAGAGCCATTCAAAATATGGTCCTCATAAAACTTGTAGCATTTTATCACACCATTCCCACTTACATAGATCCTATATCCTAGCCAAACTGGACTATTGTTCCCTCCCCAAACATGCCACTAGCTTTCCCATGGCCATGCTTTGGCCCACACTATTTTCTCCACCTGCAATACCCATTCCCCACATGCCAGTCTGCCAAAATCCTTCCGGTTTCTCAAAGCCCAGCTCAGATGCCACCTTCTCTAAGGAGCCTTTTCTGATTATCCCTAACTGAATGTGATTGCCCCTAACTGAATGTGACATTAGTCTCGTGTGATGCCCCTCTCCAATATTCATATGTGGCACTGATTCCATTATGTCACTGATTTCATGTGGCCTGTGTTCTTGATGTTCTTCAATACCTCCTACTAGACTGTAAAACTCCTTGAAAGCAGGGATTCTTGTACACATTTTTAAATCTCCCATTGTGCTTAGGTGCTCAATAATGTTGGCTGAATTATTGAATTGATTATCAAGCTGTGATATGGTCTTTATCCTCAGGGTGCTGTCCCTTGTACATGAAGATAATGTTATTGATTCACTGTCATTAAGACCTGCCTTTGGGGTGTGGTTTTTGCTTTATTAGTGGATTTAGTTTTGTGCTAATGATAATGATGCTGCTGCTGCTGATAATAGTAACAACAGTAATTAAAGATGACTTTCAACTGGGACATTTGATGAGTTTGTGTTATTGGTGACATGTTTGTTGTTGACAGCACTGTAGGATCTGAAATTTCACAGAGACATTGCCTAATGGTCCGATTCATTTTAACTCTGGAATTTTGAGGATTTCCAAGATGACATATGTTGCAGTTTTTCCCTTATAGATGATATCATGTAATGATCTCCACTTGCACCTCCTTACCAAACCAAAATTGCCATTTATAATGATCTGACTGTAGATCCTAGCTGTGGGGATTCCTCACTGAATATCAAAGAAATTAAAGACACAGCTATAAGCAATATGAGATCAGAAAGCATTTGCCAGCAAGGTCAACAGAAAATGGCTGGTCCAGAATCGCTGCAGATGAGTTCCCATGTCTGATCCCTGTGCAGACTTAGATGGGGTGGGACAGTACTCTGCTTGCAGATTCAAGTATGGGGAACACAGAGTTTGTACAAGGGAAGGAAAAGTAGAAGAGCAGCTATTTCTATTTAAAGGCTAGCTTTCAGAATAAAAAAAGTATTTACAAAAATCATTACTTAGCTAATGGCTTTGGTTTTTAAGCTGAAAAGAAGGGGATAAACTCTCGTACTCGCCCACTTTTCTTATTCAAGAGATGCATTTATTTCCAAGTACACTGTCCATTTCCACTTATGTCACTGTGTCAGTCCATGTGTCAGTTCTTCATTTAAAATTCTTATTTAGAAATAATTTTGAACTTCTAGAAAAGTTGCCAGCATAAGTAGAGTTTAAAGAATACCCATAAACCATTTGCTTTATTATTTGAGAACTCATTCTCTGTCTACACACACATGGTATTTTTTCCTGAACTATCTGAGTTGCAATTTTTAATATTTCTAGATTCAGTATTTGTAGATTCAAATTCTTTTAAAAAGACTAAGAGCTTTATCTCTATGACACTGGCACAGTTATTACAGAATATTAGAAAATGAAAACTCATGGCATATTTTAAAGCTACATTAGTGATAATTGTTTAAATTTACTATATTTGCCTTTTTAAATACTTTACATTATGTGTGTTAATACTTGAAGCTATGCAATTATAAACATGAATTTACAACTAAATCATGTTATAATTGAAATAGTTTATTTTTACAGATTGATTCATATAAAAACCTAGGTAAAATTCTAAAATTATATAGACCAATCAACTTTCCCCATTTAAATCTTCTAAGTAAAATTTAAGAGTGTAATGGTTTTCTAGTAATTTTAAATATCAATATTTAGTTTTGTGGTGTTAATATTATATTTTCTGACATTTAAAAAATGGCCTTTGGACTTGAGATCAATAAAATAAAGAGGTAATAAAAACCTACGTTTGTTTAAAACTTATAAAATATAGAAGTTGACACTAAAGCTACTTGGTACAGAAAGTTGAAAGAAAAAGAATAAAAATCCCTGTCTGAGCTCTATGTATTTTTGTCTAAATATAAACTACATCAGCTTCCTAACGCTCAAGGTGAAATAATGAGTAACTAATGTATTAAAACTATTATCATAAGTATATGGTTTATGAAGACTTAATTTTGCTTTTAACATTTAGTTTTAAACATTAAACAGCATAATTTAACAATGTGTTTGGGATAACTGCATATAGTGTAGTATATTAAAGTTAATAAAATAATGTTGTATAGGAGATAAAAAACATGATAACTCAGGAAAAAAGTGAAAAGCTTTCCTAAAAGAATAAGGTAAAAAATACTGTATTTCCCTATTCTGTTTACTCTCCAACTTCTCTGTTTCTTTCATACCATCTTCCTTTTCCTCAAATCTTCAACACCTCCCCCATCCTCAGTCCCAGTTCATGACCTTACTTTCTATTTCATTAGGAAAAGAGAAGCATTCAGAAGAGAACTGCCAGTTAAAAGAACATTTATAAAGCTATTGCCCATGTAATGACCATCCAAGACAAGAAATGCAACATCTTGATAACCCCCACCCCTAGTCCTCCTGCACTCCAGGCCCCTCACTGATGACCTTCCTCCACCCATCCTAGAGATAACTCCTATCCTGACTATTATGATATCATTTCTTTACTTTTCTTTATAGATTTATCTTCTTGTTACCGGAAGGGGGACACCTTCAAGGGCCTGAGAGTGGGCTCTTGTCTAACACTCAGAAATGAATTGTCCGAGGAGACACGTATACTGACAAAGCAAAAGACTTTACTGGGGAGGAGCACCTGGGCAGCAGGGTAAGGAAACACAGGAGAACTGCTCTGCCACATGGCTCGCAGTCTCAGGGTTTATGGTGGTGGGGTTAGTTTCCGGGTTGTCTTTGGCCTGTCATCTTGTCTGTGCCCATATTTAGTCTGACTCAGGGTCCATCCTGGTGGCGTGTGCATCTCTCAGCCAAGATGGATTCCAGCGTGAAGGTTTCTGGGAGGTTGGCAGAACATATTATGGGCTGGCATTTCCTCCTTCCTTTTGGCCCCTCCTGAATTCTTCTGGCTGGCTGTAGCTTGTCAGTTCTATGTTCCTTATCAGGACCTCCTGTTGTGAGATAACTCATGCAAGCAGTTATTATCCTGCCTGGCCAGGGAGGGCAGTTTCAGTCAACGGTTCCCTAACATTCCGTATCCCTAAACAGCACAGTTTTATTTTACAGATATTTGAACTCTATATACTTTATATACTTGGAATTGTGACTACTTCTTTCATATTATTTGTGAGATTCATCCATATTGTTGCAGGTAGTTGTAGTTATTTCATTTTTCTAAACTGTGATAAATTTACTTTAAAAAGATTTTTTTAAGAGAAGTTTTAGGTTCACAGCAAATTTGAGAGGAAGGTATGGGAGAATTCCCATACACGCCCTGCTGCCACAGGTACATAGCCTCACCAATTATCACCCTCCCACACCAGAGTGGTACATTTGTTACAACTGACAAATCTATATTGATACATCATTATCACCCAAAGTCCAGTTTACCTTAGGGTTCACTCTTAGGGCTGTATATTGTATGGGTTTGGACAAATGTATAATGACAGGTATCCACCATTATAGTATCATACAAAGTAGTTTCATTGCAGCCCCCAATCCTCTGTGCTCTGCCTATTCTGACCCCCGCCCAACCTCTGGCAACCACTGACCTTTTACTATCTCCATAGGTTTGCCTTTTCCAGAATGTCATATAGTTGGAATCATACAGTATGTAGCCTTTTCAGATTGGCTTCCTTCACTTAGTAATGTGCATTTAAGGTTGCTCCATGGCTTTTTGTGGCTCATTTCATTTTAGCACTGAATAATAATTCCATCATCAGGATTTATCAGTTTATTTATCCATTCATCTACCGAAGGACATCTGGATTGCTTCTAAGCTTTGGCAGTTATGAATAAAGCTGTTATAAACATCCGTGTGCAGGTTTTTATGTGGCCGTAAGTTTTAAACTCCTCTGGATAAATGTTAAGGAGCACAATTGCTGGATTGTATAGTAAGCATATGGTATAGTTTGGTAAGAAACTGCCAAACTGCCTTCCAAAGTGGCTATACCATTTTGCATTCCCATCAGCAATGAATGAGCATTCCTGCTGCTCCACATCCTTGCCAGCATTTGATGCTGTCAGTGTTATGAATTTTGGCCATTCAAGTATGTGTATAGTGGTATCTCACTGTTGTTTGGTTATTTCACTTTTATTTTTGTATGTACTATTGTGTGAATATACCATACCACAATTTATCCATGAAAACTTTTAGGGACATCCTGCTTGTTTCCAGTTTTTGACTGTTACAAAACAGTGCTACCATGAATATTCTTAGTAGTGTATATAACTACAGACGTCTCTACGATATTTACCTAAGAGTGGAATTGTTGGTTTATAGGGTATGGGGACTTTCAAAGTTACTGTATAATGCCTAAATTTTCCTAATGAATAACTTTTCCTAATGCTGTGTACCAATTTACACTTACTAGCAGTTCCCATTGCTCCACCTGCTGACAACATTTGTTATTATCAGACTTTTAAATTTTTGCCAACCTGGTGGGTGTAAAATGGCCTCTCATTTGATTTTAATGATTTTTCTTGTTCTTTTTTTTAACATTTTTATTGGCGTATAACTGCTTTACAATGTTGTGTTAGTTTCTGCTGTATAACAAAGTGAATCAGCTATATATATATACATATATCCCCATTATCCCCTCCCTCTTGCATCTCCCTCCCACCCTCCCTATCCCACCCCTCTAGGTGGTCACAAAGCACTGAGCTGATCTCCCTGTGCTATGCGGCTGCTTCCCACTAGCTACCTATTTTACATTTGGTAGTGTATATATGTCCATGCCACTCTCTCACTTCATCTCAGCTTACCCTTCCCCCTCCGTGTGTCCTCAAGTCCATTCTCCACGTCTGTGTCTTTATTCCTGTCCTGCCTGTATGTTCTTCAAAACCATTTTTTTCTAGATTCCATATATATGTGTTAGCATACAGTATTTGTTTTTCTCTTTCTGACTTACTTTGTATGACAGACACTAGGTCCATCCACCTCACTACAAATAACTCAATTTTGTTTCTTTTTATGACTGAATAATATTCCGTTGTATAGATGTGCCACATCTTCTTTATCCATTCATCTGTCTATGGACACTTAGGTTGCTTCCATGTCCTGGCTATTGTAAACAGTGCTGCAATGAACATTGTGGTACATGATTCTTTTTTTTTTTTAAAGATTTTTATTGGAGTATAATTGCTTTACAATCGTGTTAGTTTCTGCTTTATAACAAAATGAATCAGCTATACATATACATATATCCCCATATCTCCTCCCTCTCGCGTCTCCCTCCCACCCTCCCTATCCCACCCCTCTAGGTGGTCACAAAGCACCAAGCTGATCTCCCTGTGCTATGCGGCTGCTTCTCACTAGCTATCTATTTTACATTTGGTAGTATATATAAGTACATGCCACTCTCTCACTTCGTCCCAGATTACCCTTCCCCCTCCCCGTGTCCTCAAGTCCATTATTTATGTCTGCATCTTTATTCCTGTCCTGCCCCTAGGTTCTTCATAACCTGTTTTTTTTTAAGATTCCATATATATGTGTTAGCATACGGTATTTGTTTTTCTCTTTCTGACTTACTTCACTCTGTATGACAGTCTCTAGGTCCATCCACCTCACTAAAAATAACTCCGTTTCGTTTCTTTTTATGGCTGAGTAATATTCCATTATATATATATGTGCCTCATCTTCTTCATCCATTCATCTGTCAATGGACACTTAAGTTGCTTCCATGTCCTGGCTATTGTAAATAGAGCTGCAATGAACATTGTGGTACATGACTCTTTGAATTATGGTTTTCTCAGGGTATATGCCCAGTAGTGGGATTGCTGGGTTGTATGGTAGTTCTAATTTTAGTTTTTTAAGGAAACTCCATACTGTTCTCCATAGTGGCTGTATCAATTTACATTCCCACCAACAGTGCAAGAGGGTTCCCTTTTCTCCACACCCTCTCCAGCATTTATTGTTTGTAGATTTTTTGTTGATGGCCATTCTGACTGTTGTGAGGTGATACCTCATTGTAGTTTTGATTTGAATTTCTCTAACGATTAGTGATGTTGAGCATTCTTTCCTGTGTTTGTTGGCAATCTGTATATCTTCTTTGGAGAAATGTCTATTTAGGTCTTCTGCCCATTTTTGGATTGGGTTGTTTGTTTTATTGATACTGAGGTGCATGAGCTGCTTGTATATTTTGGAGATTAATCCTTTGTCAGGTGCTTCATTTGCAAATATTTTCTCCCATTCTGACAGTTGTCTTTTCATCTTGTTTATGGTTTCTTTTGCTGTGCAAAACCTTTTAAGTTTCATTAGGTCCCATTTGTTTATTTTTGTTTTTACTTCCATTTCTCTAGGAGGTGGGTCAAAAAGGGTCTTGCTGTGGTATATATCATAGAGTGTTCTGCCTATGTTTTCCTCTAAGAGTTTTATAGTGTCTGGCCTTACATTTAGGTCTTTAATCCATTTTAAGTTTATTTGTGTGTATGGTGTTAGGAAGTGTTCTAATTTCATTCTTTTACATGTAGCTGTCCAGTTTTCCCAGCACCATTTGTTGAACAGGCTGTCCTCCATTGTATATTCTTGCCTCCTTTATCAAAGATAAGGTGACCCTATGTGTGTGGGTTTACCTCTGGGCTTTCTATCCTGTTTCATTGATCTATATTTCTGTTTTTGTGCCAGTACCATACTGTCTTGATTACTGTAGCTTTGTAGTGTAGTCTGAAGTCAGGGAGCCTGATTCCTCCAGCTCCATTTTTCTTTCTCAAGACTGCTTTGGCTATTTGGGGTCTTTTGTGTTTCCATACAAATTGTGAATTTTTTTGTTCTAGTTCTGTGAAAAATGCCATTGGCAGTTTGATAGGGATTGCATTTAATCGGTACATTGCTTTAGGTAGTATAGTCATTTTCACGTTGTTGATACTTCTAACCCAAGAAGATGGTACGTCTCTCCATCTGTGTGTATCATCTTTAATTTCTTTCATCGGTGTATTATAGTTTTCTGTATACAGGTCTTTTGTCTCCTTAGGTAGGTTTATTCCTAGGTATTTTGTTCTTTTTGTTGCAATGGTAAATGGGATTGTATCCTTAATTTCTCTTTCAGATTTTTTGTTGTCAGAAATAGGAATGCAAGAGATTTCTGTGCGTTAATTTTGTATCCTGGTACTTTACGAAATTCATTGAATAGCTCTAGTAGTTTTCTGGTGGCATCTTTAGGATTCTCTCTATATAGTATCATGTCATCTGCAAACAGTGACAGTTTTGCTTTTTCTTTTCCGATTTGGATTCCTTTTATTTCTTTTTCTTCTCGAGCATCTTTTCATAAGCCTATCAGACGTTAGGATTTATTATTTTTTGAAGCATTTATTCAATACATCTGCCAATTTTTTTCTATTGGGTAGTATGCCATTTAAAAATTAATTTGTAGGTGTTATTTATATATTCTAACTTTATTTCTTTGTCCTTTATATGTGTTGCATATATCTTTTCCCACTTTGTCTCTTATTTTTTGGTCATTTTCCTGATGGTTTCTTTCAACAAACAGAAGTCCTTAATTATACTATATTCAAAGTTATCAATCTTTTTTTCTTTATCCATAGTGCTTTTTGTGTCTTTTCAAAGAAATCCTTCCCTATCCCAACATCATGAGGATATTCTCCTTTATTAACATTTGAAATTTCTCTAATTTTGCCTTTTACACTTAGGACTTT